CTCTCTTGAGGTGGGAGAGCAACATCGCCGGAAAACGCGGAGGAGAGAAAGAGAGAGAGAGAGAGTCGAGACGGGTCACGGAGCGTTTACGAAAGCGGGAATGAGAGACAAAGAGGAGGAGGAGGGAAAAACGCGAAAGGTGCGAGAAAGAGGGCAAGGGAGTGCGCGAAGGAAATTGCGGACGACAGAGTGAGAGGGAGAGAGAAAGAGAGAGAGAGGGAAAGGGGAAGCAAGAGAGGGCCGGTGAGGCGAAAGAGAGAGAGATGGAGAGAAGAGTAGAGAAGGAGGTAGACTTCGGGTGCGAGCAGTCTACTCGAACGCAGTAATGCCGACCAGCTCCAACCGGGTGCCGCCAAATCGAACCCCGGTTCGAATTCCGCACGGCCGTGGCCGCGGAAAGGAGCAAGAGGGACAAAGGGAGGAAGAGGAAGAGGAGAAAGAAAGGAACGAGGAGGGCGGCGGAGGAGAGGAGGATAACGGCGACCAAGACAACGGCAACGGCAACGACGACGGCGACGATCACGACGGCGACGGCGACGGCGACGACGACGACGACGAGCACGACGGGGAATGCGAATAAAAAAAAGTCGCGAAGGTGGAAGAGGAAGAAGAAGAAAAAGGTATGTGCCAAAGAAAGTCCCTGTCTTCCTGTATGGGTGTAAAGAAAAGCGAGGGTCAAACTTGATTTGACGTGACATAACGAAGCTTAGGGGAAAAAGGGGTGGAACGAGAGAAGATAGGAGAGAAGCTTTTACATCCGAAAAAGGAAGAACGGGAAGACGGCGAGGATGATGACAGCCAGATGGGCTGCTGTCACGGTCCCTTGGGTGAAAAAGTGTCCAAATGTGCCTTTTCTAATCTGTTATCGAGAAAGCAACGTTGCGGCTATTGGTGTAATTTTTGTGAGTTTTGTTTAGTTAAGTTTATTAGTGCGCGCGCGGTGACTTATTAGACTGCCAACATCTGATTTCATCGGCGTCGTCCGTCTTTAGCACAAGTATTTTTTTTAGAACTAGAAATAGGAAGAAAGGGAGAAGAGAAATTTGATGCACCAAAATTTCATTATTGGCTAAAATCACATTGAAAAAGAAACTGGATATTATCGCGTATTTATAATCGGAGGAAGAGATGAGCGGTCTTCGATGAAACCAGATAAGTCACATATGGCGATTTTTCTACCCCGGAATATTTCAAACAAGGAACGCGCGTTATTCGCAACGACGTCCGTTCGTCTATTTCTTCTCGTGGATATTTCTCACGTGTCCGGCACATTCCTCGCGAAAAATCAGCATAGAAAAAGTGTCGGAGTCGAGAAATGTGGAGTTCGAAGAAATTGGAAAAGCGACGGTCTTCGGGACATACGAAGAATGCCCGTTGAAGAATGTTTCCCGCTGCATCGTCTTCTACACTTTTCACGACGTCGTCGCGGTTTTACGATGTTCTATTAGAATCGAAGGGCGCGCTCTACTCCGCGCTGCTACGGCGCAAGAAGAAGACGGACGAGGCGAGGCAATAAAGCGGACAGAGACCAAGAAAACTCGGAGTTATCTCGGCGTAAAGAGAAAGAAAAATAACCGATCTCCGATCTCTCGTTCGGTTCCGGAAACGTGCCCGAAGATACCCGTGGACATAAAGAATTTCCGAAGCGGGAACGAGTCTGAAAGAGAAAATAACGACACGGACAAGAGATGAAATCACGTTACGGACTGATTCTGAAAAATTGGAAATGTCTGCGCCAGTTACGGCGTCTAAAAGTGACGAGAGAAAGGGCGAAAGGACAGAGAGGGGTGAGAGGGGAGTGGACATTGTTGTGCCGCTGGTAATTTCGCAGCTTCTCGATGGTGGAAAATTATAATCGCAATTTCTGAATTAAACATGTCACGAGCATTTGGAATTATCGGCGTAGAAGAAAGATTTTAATTCAGTACCGCTACTTGTAAGTCGAAAGTATCAGAGAAGTGTGAACACCGCGAGTTTAAGTCAGATTAGAAATATCTCTAAGTGCAATCGAAATTAATTTATTATTTTGAGCTCTCTTTTTTAAAGAGCAACT